CGTAGAAGAACACCTGTACACCACACAGTCAGGGTGTGCTGATATATTATAAAGTCCGTAGAAGAACACCTGTACACCACACAGTCAGGGTGTGCTGGTACATTATAAAGTTCGTAGAAGAACACCTGTACACCACACAGTCAGGGTGTGCTGGTACATTAGAAAGTCCGTAGAAGAACACCTGTACACCACACGGTCAGGGTGTGCTGATATATTATAAAGTTCGTAGAAGAACACCTGTACACCCATATGTTCAGGGTTCTTCTTACTTAACTTTGTTCTTTATTTTTTTTAACCTTTTTAGAGCTTTATTGGGAGGGAGGGAGGGAGGGAGGGAGGGAGGGAAAGAGAGAGAGAAAGGGAAAAGGAATGCACAGGACTTAACTTTGTTCTTATTTGATACAATTTAGAAGTGAGTTAGTGGCAGAGATTATTTAGGGCTGAATGTACATTAGCGTCTCGTCACCGTGAGGTAAAGGTTAAAGATAGGAGAGAGTGCGCACGGTGTGAGGGAGAACACCGGTCGATGGGACAAGGTCTCTGCACCAGTGCTAGTACCCAAAAACAATATAAAGTCTACAAATAAGAGGGCTGTGTGGGGCTGTTGCCCCAACTGCCCCTGAGCACGTGGTGCTCAGGGCTGCACAGAGCCCTCTGCACTGGTGGTGCAGGGCGGAAGAGACAGCGCAGCCACCCTGGAACCTGCCCGCGTGGCCTCACTCCAGAGTCCTCTCCCTGTGTTCTGCTCTCGGATACTTATGAAGATGTCGTGTGATAGAGCGCTTCATCAGGAGAACAGTGTGTTGGTTACTGTGTCCCCAGCATGGAGGGACACTTGCTTACACCTCTCTTTTCTCCTGGCCCCGACAGACCCCACTGCTCCAAGCACTGCAAGAGAGCTAAGCGTGACCTCACAGCTTAAGAAATTGCAGGAGACCATTGAGCAGAAAACCAAGATAGAAATTGGGGACGTTATCCGCGTCAGAGGCTACGTGCACATGTTCAGAGAAGAGCGAGAAATCCGTGCCTCCATGTATTGTAAGCACGGGGAGTTCCTGCCAGACGGGCTGCTCTTCGGGGTGTGTGTATGTGTGTGTGTGTGTGTGTACTGTAAACGCTTGTTTAGCTCCAAGTCAGACTTGCAAAAGTCCACATACGATTTCATTCTAATGGGGAAATTATGTCTAGCATGCCGTTTTTAGGAAAACAGCATTTTAAAATTGTATTTTGAAGAATGTTAATTAGAAGTAGATTGGGAAAGAATGAATTATTGACTCTATATAGTTGGTGAGTTTATTTGGACAGCACCACTGTTTCTGAAGTACTTTGAAATTCTAAATGTCAGTCCATTAGGGCAGAGTGTTCCAGTTCTTCAAAAGGATGGAAATGTCTTGAGCACCATTAAGCCCATTAATTTTAATGAAAATAGCTAATTAGAAATAGTCCCGAATCACCCTTTTGCACTGTGCTGACTGGTCTTCAGTGGAAAATCTCAAAAGCAGCCAGGCATGGGGGACGCACATTTCCAGTTCCAGCACCCAGGAGACAGAGGCAGGCAGATCCCCATGCATCGGAGGCCAGCCTGGTCTACACAGTGAATTACAGGTTAGCCAGGGCTACATAGGGAGGCCCTGTCTTAAATAAATATATAGATTTCAAGGGCTGGCCCTGTAGGACATCAGCATAACACAGAAATGGATGATAACAGTCCTACCCCACCCCAGATGTGCCTGTCCCACATGAGGATTGCCTTCCCTCTCAAGGGATGGCTGGGAGCTGTTCTGTGACTCTGGACTGCTGTCCTGTCAGTGGTTTGGATGTGGCAAGAAGTGCTCACAGTGTCTTCTGTGGCATCTTTTCCTGGGGTGTTAGACAAGGTGGACGATCCAGTGTGGAGCATTCAAATTGCAAGGATGCTTGAGCTGCCCACGCTCTACGAGAGAGTATATGACCAGCCGTTCCGCAGCCCAGCCCTGAAGGACGAAGAGGCTCCGAGGTAAGTTCCCCCATCACTGCTTGAGAACACGAGGGCAGCAGCGACGTCTAGCAGGAGGAGCCAGCTGCTGGGTGACAGGACAAGTCCACAGATACTCTGCCTCGGTTTCCTCTCCTGCAAAGTGAAGGTGACTGTATCATAGAGGTCCTAGGGTTGTGAAGGAAACACAAGTATATTATAATTAGAGGTTCTAAAGGAGGGCAGCACAGATGAATACTTGCACGGTGGCTGAAACTTTTTCAAATTAGAGGAAATACTCTTAACTCACAGATCCAAGAAACATAGCAAACCCCAAGGTGAGAACCATGGATAAAACTGCACCAAGGCCTTTCACAGTCAGAATACTGTGCCACGGGGTACTACGACCCTGATCCTGCAGCTCCTACCATAAAACAACATGCCACGGGGTACTACAGCCCTGATCCTGCAGCTCCCACCATAAAACAACAACAAAAATAACTGGGTTGTTCTCAACCAGGACAGATTTTATTCCTATGTAGTGGAATAAACAAACAGAGCCCAGGAGGAATATGAATATACAGGCATTGGCTAAAATATGAAATGTGATAAAGAAAATCACCAGTGCCTTCCTGGTGGCTTCTAGCTGGGGAGGTAGAATGAGGAGGTGCCTTAGTCAGGGTTACTATTGCTGTGATCAAACACCATGACCAAAGTAACGTGGGGAGGAAAGGGTTTATTTGGCTTACACTTCCACATCACTATTCATCATTGGAGGAAGTCAGGACAGGAACTCAAACAGGGCAGGAACCTGGAGGCAGGAGCTGATGCAGAGGCCGTGGAGGGGTGCTGCTTACAGGCTTGCTTCTCATGGCTTAGTCAGTCTCCTTTCTTATAGAATGCAGAACCACCAGCCCAGGAGTGGCCCCGCCCACAAGGACTGAGGCCTCCCCCATCAATCACCAATTAAGAACATGCTCTGCAGGCTTGTCTGCAGCCCAGTCTCATGGAGGCATTTTCTCTGCTGAGGTGTTCCCTCTCCTCAAATGACTACAGCTTGGGTCGAGCTGACAGAAAACTAGCCAGCACAGGAGGGATACTTTTTATTGGGTTAGGGGCAGAGAAGCTAGAATGGGTAAAGGTGCATGTTCCCCAAGTGTGAGGACCTGAGCTCAGATCGCAGCCCTATATTAAAATCTGGGCAGGCTGGTGTGCAAACCTGTAACCCCAGCAGTGTCGGGTTGGAGACAGGAGGGTCACTGGGACATTTCTTTACCTCTAAATTCAATGAGAGGTCTGTTCTCATGGGAATAAGAGAGGGAGCAATAAAGCAGGGCACCTGGTGTTTTCTTCTGGCCTCTGCGTGCACACAGTACACACACACACACATACACATACATGTGCACACACATACACATGTGCGTGCATGCACGCGTGTTCTCGCGCACACATCCATCACAGGCACACACATAGCCATCACACACACTTTTTTTTGCCATGCTAGAGAATGAACCCGGACCGAACTCATGCTAGGCAAATGCTCTGCTGCTGAGCCCTTTAACTTTTTAAACATGAGAATACACTACGTATACAATCAGTCATATTTTCAAACAGTACAAACAGTAGGTGTTTATAACACAGAAAGTGGAAATTGTCTCCAAGCACTACTGTCCAAAGGTTAGCAGTGTTCCTGGGTTGCCATGGTTCCCTTTAGATGCCTTTATTCTGTGCATACACAGCATGAATATCACTTAGCTATTTAGTGGGATTTCTTCTCCCCCTCACAGTAATAATGGTCGCCCCTCCATGCTGTTCTTGACCTCTTTTTATAATCTATCATGAATGGCTGTCAATATGTGCGGTTCCACCATAGCCACACGATGGCCCTTTTGTAAAGAAAGAAACAAACAAAACCCCAAAACAACAACAAAAAACAAGCACCGTGTAGAACGGTGTCTCCTAGCTAGCTCTTGGTTTTATGCACCAAGAGGAGCTGAGGTGATGGTTTCTGCAGGGCGTTTGAAAACTTTGCCCCTGCAGCAATACAGACACTTTGGATCTCGCCGGCCTCACCTCTTTGTTGAGTGAGAAAATCAAAGAATTCCTCCAGGATAAGAAAGTGCAGACCTTCTACCAGCAGGAACTGGAAATGGTGGAGTCTTTGCAGTCTCTGGCCAGCCAGCCTGTGCTTCACAGCGCCTGCTCAGACCAGGTAAGTGTGGCATGCTCATGGGGGATTCAGCCTGCACCCGAAGGGTGAGGGCATGAGTGACTAGCGGGAAGACTCGAGGGGTGGAATCCAAAAGCAGAGGTCCCGGTTCTAGCATGTGCCATTTCTATTCTGGAAAGGTCACTGACCACTAGGAATCTGAAATGCGGCTGGGTCTGCCCTTGTCCGCCCTTTACTTAATCACATTGCATTTAATGTCTGAGTAGAAAATAATAGCAGGCTAAGGTCACGGCACCTCGCTGTCAGTACTCGCTGAGATGGGCATTTAACCTCAGAGCAGGTAAAGGAGGGTAAGGAGGGAAGAGGAGAGAATTATCCTCCCTCCAAGATGATGATTGGCCAGCAAGGTGATGCCTGAACCAGGGCTTTAACGACTTGGTCTTTTCCTTGAAAAGGTTACTCTGCCCTGCTGTAGGAATTCAGATAAAGGCCAAGCTGCATTCAGTCATGTTCATAACTAAAAAGTTCAAAGAACTTTCCTGTTGCTCTTGGTGACACCTCTGCCCAGTCTTGCGTTCCTCATGTCCGTCCCCGGGCTGGCTTCTTGTTCGGTGTTTCTGTCATATGCAATCAAGACTCACTAGAAATTGTGGGTTTAGGCTTTCCTTGCCTTTCTGTTCTTGGGTTTGTGCTGTTGTGTGTGACTCGTGTGTTTCCTTTGAACTGTGTAATCTCAGCTCACAGATCATCTCCCGGCCTCCTCATCCGCTCTGACTGCTGCTCACCCGTCACTGTCTTCAAAGATCTGTATCTGAATGTCACTTACGCTTCTGTGTTCTGACCCATTGTGTGCGGTGCCACGGGTACTCGCCCTCCGTCAGTTACATCCATGTCTGTGATGTCACTGCCACTTGTCCCTTGCTGTCCTCACCCTGTTACATCCTGGTCTGTGATGTCACTAGCATATCTATTCATCTACCAGAATGTAAGGCCTGTGAGAGCAAAGGCCGTCTGTCGTATTCTTTGCTCTCTACACCCCCTCCAACAGGACTGGAGAAAGCAGACTCTAGTTAATGAATGACGGTTTTGTAAAATCCAGATGGTCCCAGAAAGGGACAAGTGTGTTTTCCTCCCCTCCCCTCCCCCACCCTGTTCCTGGTCTCCGGGTCAAGCACCATCCTAGTCTCCTGAGCGTGTACCTGGCTATATGCTGAGCCTGTATTTACAGTGATGGTTACAGCCCTTCTTTTTGTCCACGTGGGAACACACTGTGGTCTTCTTCAGGAGACCTAGGTCTTCAGTGAGCAGTGCATCTTTCCGTTCTTTCCTGGTAGAGTCTGCCCCCATCTAACGCTCTCAGTACCTGTACCCAAGGATGAGTTCACACATACTCAGTCTCCCTTCTGCAGCTGTCCTGACATCTTCCAGTCCTCTCCAATCACCAGCCAGGCTGCTCTGAGTGTCCTCTCGGATTCGGCATGCTGCTGGGGGAACAGGTACCATCTCACCACCCCAGCGCCTGCCTGACCCTTGCTTCTTGGATTTGTTCACATGCCTAATTACCTCTTCCTGGCAGCAGGCTGTGTGCCCAGTGACCCAGGATTTCATACAGAGATATGAGGGATAGTGTTTCAGAAAACACTCAGGTGGAGGAGGTCATGGCTGGGAGCTTTGTTCTTTGCCAAGGTTGCCTCTAAACAGCCTTGTCTCTCCAGCTGTCCACTTCCCATTGGCCATATTTCCATTTTATCATTTAGAAGATCCTCAGAGCCAAAGACCTCCTAGGACTTCTGATGGCTCTCAGTGTGTGGCCAGTAACTCCCTCCCTCCCTGTCTTCTCTCCCCTTTTCCTTTTAAAATACCTTTTCAATTACGTGTGGTGTGGTGTGTGTGTGTGTGTGTGTGCACGTGCACACGTGAACACTCATGCACGTAGTTGTGCACATGCCACATTGAGAGTGTAGAGGCCTGAGGACAACCTGCAAGACTCCATTCCATCCTTCTGCCATTCAGGGCCCAAGGATCAAGCTCACATTGTTAGACTTGGCAGCAAGTACCTTCATGTTGTTGATTGTTTTTTGCTCTTTTTCAGAGGTGGGGGGACCACTACCCAGCTCCCAAATAAATCACACACGGAGGCTTATTATTATTACTTATGAATGCCCAGCCTTAGCTTGGCTTAGTTTCTAGCCAGCTTTACTTAACTTAAATTATCCCGTCTACCTTTTGCCTCTGGACTTTTTCTATTCCTGTATACCTTTCTCTGTTTCTTACTTCATGGCCTGCTGTGTAGCTGGGTGGCTGGCCCCTGGAGTCCTCCTCCTTCTCTGGCTCCTCGCTAGTTCCCTTCACTCCACATTCCTCCTTCTATTTATTCTCTCTGCCTGCCAACCCCGCCTATCCTTTCTCCTGCCTCGCTATTGGCCATTCAGTGCTTTATTAGACCATCAAATGTGTTAGACACATTAACACAGCTTCACAGAGTTAAACAACTGCAACATAAACAAAAATCACACACCTTAAAACAATATTCTACTACACCTTCACTTGGAGGCAAGCACCTTTCCCAGCTCAGCATCTCACAGGCCCTCCTTTTTCTTTGAGACATGATCTTGTTCTGTAGTCCAGGCTGTCCTGGAACTTGCTATATAATTTGGGCTAGCCTCAAATTCATGGTCCTTCTGCATCAGCCTCTTACGTTTTAGGACTTCATGTATGTGCTGCTGTGCCCGCTATGAGGAAACATTAATAAGTAGCGAAGCCCACCTTCATGTGGAACCACGATGGCTACAATGAACTAGGAGGACTTAAGGACTCCCCCAGTCAGAATGGGCAATGGGGGAGTTTTGGAGTGCTATCTTTTAGAAGAAGCTTAGAGCAGAAAATTGTGCCTGCCCAGTGCTGCGTATTTAAAAAGAAAGGAGTCCGGTGCTGCATTTGTTTTTCTTTGAAAACGATTTCTTCCATCAATTATGAATCAGTTGGTTGAATTGCACTGCTTGGGAGGTCGCTGTCACTCAGTTGCATTCCATTTAATAGCACCCTGGGAGACTGCAGATGCTCACAACGATACTGAAACCCGAGAGCCTTGGGCAGTCTCCCTTATCACTCACGAAAGCTCGATTCCCTTTCTCTTTCTTTCTTCTGATTTTTTTTTTTTTAACATCACCCTTCTTAGCAAATCCAGAAACATGATAAGCAGATCTTGCAAAACCATTGTTTCTCTGACAGCTGGATGAATGCTGAGTTTGTTTGGGAGTGCAGATTATATATATTTCAGGAAGCCACCCGGTTCCTGCAGGGCCTGAGCCCCAAGACAGTGCTTCACTCTGTGAGCAATTTTGGTTTCCTGAATCGCGCATGTCTGGTCATTGTTCCTTTGAAAATGACAAGCAAAACACAGATCTCAGTCCAGGAAGCTGCTGGCTTTCCAGAAGAGACCCCTGGAGGCCCTGCTCTCAGGACCGAGGTCTTTAAGCCAGCCTGGGAAGCACATCCTGAGGTCACGTGAGGCAGGTGTCTCTGGGAAGGATGTTTCCCATGTTGTTTGTAGTTACTGAGTCTGTCTGAGTCTGCTTTGTCCTCCCTGACACAGCTGAGCCGCCCCGCCCGCCTCTGCTCCCCTAGGCCTGCATGCCCTCCTCCCCCTGTCCCAGCCTTTCAGAGGAGGGAGCTGATGCGCATGTGAGATTGTCCAGCACTGTGAAGGCAAAGCTGTGAACAGACAAATCAAAACTGAGGCACGGAACAGTTAGCAAGTGTGACCCTCCAGAGAGACTTCCGGAAGTGCCGCAATACCGGCCTGCTCAGCGGACACAGGCCTAGAGTGCGCTGACTCAGCACAAGCAAAGCCTGTTGGGTGAACTCATAAACCAGTCAGTCTGGGGCGTTAGTCGTGGGTGATAGGAGATGAAACTTACTTCTGTTTCCTCCCTGTGCAGGTGGAGGAATCCAAGAACAGCACCACTTCCGACACAGTTCACAGTGTGTTTAAGAATGCTATACAGCTGCTGCGGGAAAAGGGACTCCTGTTCCAGAAAGATGGTGGCGGTGATAAGCTGTACTACGTAAGAGATCTGCAGCTTAAGTTCCTCTTTGTAGCTTCCATTACATACACATTTCTACTTAGGACCGCCTACCTACTTGTTTCTAAAATAATCATCAGGAGGCGTGGAAGTCAGAAGTGCATGTTAGCTTTTACCTTTTCGAAATCTAACTCTTATCACTGGTTTTGTGAAACAGTCTTGATCTGTAGCCCAGGTTGGCCTTGAACTCATAAACTTCTGCCTCCATCTCTCCAGTGCTGGGATTGTAGGCTTGTGCCACTACACCCGACCCATGCAGCCTCTTGAAACCTAGTATCCTTCTAAATATTTCTTTGTACATTGACAGATGAGTAATTTAGAAATATGTTCCTATGGCTTTTTTGTTTTATTTTTTGAAAAAGCAATCACCTTCTAACTCAGAAATCCTTATCCTCAGCACCACTGGGCAGATGAGAGTCAGGGACTCTCCCGCACACTGTAGAGTGCGTACCAGCATCCCTGGCCTTACCCACTAAGCACCAAGCATCTCCCAGGTTAGGACAACCAAAACCGGCCTTAGGCATTACGAGATGTCCCACGGCTGCAGTAACACTCAGCACCTCTTTTGGAACTGTGGTCCATCCCCATCACCCTGGCACATCAGTACCTGTGAATCTACCCTGCCTTCCTGATACCCTTGGTTCTGTACTATGAGTATTCACCAGGACTTTCTAGCCATTCTTTTGTGACAAACACTAGGGTGTTGTGTGACTTTTGTTATCACAAATAGTGTTCCCTGGCCTAGCTGCATGGCTATCTTTGTGAATTCATGTCAGAATTCCCAAGCCTGACTCAGGAAGGAGAGAGTTTTCGGGCGGCACCTCCAGTCAGCCTCCCGGAAGGCCTTGCCCTCCCCACAGGGTACGGGCATGGCTGCTTGTTTGCCTCATTCTTTTCAAGTTAAACGTTTGCCTCTAACTGCCTGCCTTTGATATCGGAGGCACCAAGCTAGGCCTCCTGGGACCACCCCTGTCGGCTGCAGAGGTGGCTGCAGGGGCCCGTGAACCTCCTGGAGGCAGGCTGGAGGGCCTCACTGCTGAGGACTCACTAGGGGTTTCCTCAGCAGCGCATTTCCTCTTCATTTGTTTAAGTGGGAGGGGTTTTCCACGGTGCTGAGTAACTGTGGGAGAGGCAATCTGGTGTAACAGGAGTGCTGTCCACCCAAGGACGCGAGGACAGCGTAGGACATGGTGGCCGTTGTCAAGCCAAGCGGGGAAGCTGAGCTGGAGTCCTCTCGGACACTTGTGCCTCCTTGCTCTCTGGGGTGGCCTCTCGGAGGGTCTGTAGACAGCAGCCCTCCCTGTGAGGCAGCAAGAGCAAGGGCTGCTGCCCAGGCGAGGTGTGGCAGGGCTGAGCACTTCCTCCTGTGAATCACCATGAGCTGGAAGGGCAGTCAAACACGAACAGATCCCCTGTCCCCTTCTGGGCCTGACCCTCCCTTCCACTCAGGCCTGGTTTGTGGGTTTCCTTTCTCCCGGGGCCCCGCTGGACGTAGCTATCATAGCAGTACCCACACTTCTGTGTGCTCGCATGGTTTCTTCCTCACTAACCTCGTCAGTTAAAAGTCCTCCAGCGGCCTGCTCTGCAAGTCAGGTCTCACAGGCGTCCGTGGGCGTCTCTACCGCCCAGGTCCTGAGCTGTCACAGGCTGGACTCTTCCCCCCCTTTATAGGCTCTGTTTCCTTCCTTCTCGCCACTCCCCTCCTTTCTTCTCCCCCTCCCTCCCTCCCCGCCTTTCCTTTGTCCTCCCTCCTCCTCGCTTCCTCTTTCCTGCCTTCCTCCCCTTTTGCCCTTTCCTTTCCTCCCTGTCTCTTCTGTTACTGTATTTCCCGCTGGACCTGAGTGTGAAACCTGCTGCTCATTCAGAAAGAGCCATGGTTGTGTCTGCCTGCGAGGACAGAGGGCGTTTTCCATAAGCTAGGTGCTCTGTCTTGCCAGCTTCCTCATGCCCTCTTCTTCTTTAATTCTTCCTGTGTTTAGAAGAAGAGAAACTAAAGAAATACAAGACAGGCGTGGGGGCGGAGAGGGAGGAGCGCTGGGATGAGGGGGATGGAGAGGGAGGAGCGCTGGGATGATGGGGATGGAGAGGGAGGAGCGCTGGGATGATGGGGATGGAGAGGGAGGAGCGCTGGGATGATGGGGATGGAGAGGGAGGAGCGCTGGGATGATGGAGAGGGAGGAGTGCTGGGATGATGGGGACGGAGAGGGAGGAGCACTGGGATGATGGAGAGGGAGGAGTGCTGGGATGATGGGGATGGAGAGGGAGGAGCGCTGGGATGATGGAGAGGGAGGAGTGCTGGGATGATGGGGACGGAGAGGGAGGAGCACTGGGATGATGGAGAGGGAGGAGTGCTGGGATGATGGGGATGGAGAGGGAGGAGTGCTGGGATGATGGGGATGGAGAGGGAGGAGTGCTGGGATGATGGGGATGGAGAGGGAGGAGTGCTGGGATGATGGGGACGGAGAGGGAGGAGCACTGGGATGATGGAGAGGGAGGAGTGCTGGGATGATGGGGGCGGAGAGGGAGGAGTGCTGGGATGATGGGGGCAGAGAGGGAAGAGTGCTGGGATGATGGGGGCGGAGAGGGAGGAGTGCTGGGATGAGGGGGATGGAGAGGGAGGAGTGCTGGGATGATGAGGGCGGAGAGGGAGGAGTGCTGGGATGAGGGGGATGGAGAGGAAGAAGTGCTGGGATGATGGGGGCAGAGAGGGAAGAGTGCTGGGATGATGGGGACAGAGAGGGAGGAGTGCTGGGATGATGGAGAGGGAAGAGTGCTGGGATGATGAGGACAGAGAGGGAGGAGTGCTGAGATGATGGGGACAGAGAGGGAGGAGTGCTGGGATGATGGGGACAGAGGGAGGAGTGCTGAGATGATGGGGACAGAGAGGGAGGAGTGCTGGGATGATGGGGACAGAGAGGGAGGAGTGCTGGGATGATGGGGATGGAGAGGGAGGAGCGCTGGGATGATGGAGAGGGAGGAGCACTGGGATGATGGGGATGGAGAGGGAGGAGCACTGGGATGAAGGCCAGAGGCTTTGAGCACTTGTGCTCCTTCAAAAACACCACAGCAATTAGGGAAATGTTGTCAGTGGGTTACAAGTGTGTAAGAAGAAAACTGCCCCTTCAAGGCACAGAATTCTAGTTCTTCTCTACCTTCCGGCCCCCGATGAACCAGCCCCTGAGAGTGACTCAGATGCCTAGGGACAGAGCTGAGTTGCCCAGGCCCAACATCAGGACCACAATGGGGGGGGGGGTGGCAATTTTCATGGAATCTGCAGAACTGTTCCCCATGCTCATTTGAATTCTGATTGACACACTGCTGTGTTCCCAAACCATGTTTTCTCTCGGGACTCTCCAGGTGACCAACAAGGACAAAGACCTGCACCAAAAGATCTACCAGATCATCAAGGAAGAGTGCCAGAAACCAACCCGTAAGTGGCTGAGGTACAGATGGTGATGAGCTGGTGCCCAGGGTTCCCTCCCCAGAAACAGACGGAATTGGGATGTTCAGGACTTCTGTCCTCTCCGGGCCTCAGTTTCCTCTCCTTTAACACACACGTTCTCCTCGAATAGTCCCTTGGACTTTGGTTGGATGGAGAAGTCAACACTAGAGCACCTTTAAACACCACTGGGGTTCTGATCCTGTAGGGAAGGAGCTGGAGGCTGACAGCTAAGCTCCCCGGGATTTCTGACACACTGAAGCAAGCCGCCATGCTGAGCTCTGAGATGGACTCCTAGTCCCCATGGCTTCAGCTGCACTCACTGTCTGTTACCCACTCCTTTGAACATTAACTTGACATCTCCCCTCATTCAAACAGCAAGGCCTTTTAGGGTGGGGCAGGCTGGTTCCAGACATTAAGGCTCATGAATAATGAAATTCAGTCATCTTGGAAACTGGAAACTGGTAAGTTATAAATGAAATGGCTTGGAAAGTAGTCTGGTTTTGTGGGGTTAGGTCAGCCTCTAGTGGCCAGACACTCACACTGTAGCGAGTGTGACAACATGGGTACAGATTTCACGCTCATTACAAATATCGGCCTCTAGTGGCCAGACACTCACACTGTAGCGAGTGTGACAATATGGCTATGAATTTCACGCTCATTACAAAGAAAACATGGGTCTTACCTTTAAGTCTGTATGGACTTGTCAGCCTTCAAGGTGGCTTTTCAGAGCCTACCTTGTAAACATATGCCAGTAACAAATCCTTATGTCAGCAAGATCCTGAAACGGGAAGGGTTGTTAGCCCCAGGCCCCCATCCTATTTTCTTTCTCTCTGGAGAAGACATCACTCCCTTCAGACCCAGACAGACAGGTTGAGTCACAGGTAGAGTGGGGCCACGTCACCCACCCTGTTGTTTAGGACCCAGTGAGATCAGAACCCAGTGTGTGTAACAACCAGTCTTTTAATAAAACAACCAGGGCTGGAGAGATGTCTCAGCATGTAAGAGCACTATCTACTCTTCCAAAGGTCCCAGGTTCAATTCCCAGCACCCACATGGTAGCTCACAACTGTCTGTAACTCCAGTTCCAGAGGATCTGACACCCTCACACAGACATATATGCAGGCAAAATACCAATGCACTTAAAATATAAGTAAATTTTTAAAACAACAACAAAAACCTCAAAGCAATCTCTTATTTTAGTAAATGAATGTTGTTTGGTTTATTCAGAATAATAATAAAAGCACCCAAAGCAGGCATGATAGTGTGGACCTGTAACCCCAGCACTGAGAGGGCTGAGGCAGGAAGGTGAGTGCTTAAGGGCGCCAGGGATAACAGAGTGAGACACACTCTTTCTCTCCCTCCCCATCTCCCTCTTCCTCCCTCCCCGTTCTGGGGTGTGTATGCACGTGTGTGTGCATGGAATCCAAAGAATATTCTCAGTGTCCTGCTCTATCTCTTTCTCCCTAAATCTGGAGGTGGGCTGGCAACCAACACGATCCAGCTATCTCCTGTCC